ATACTCGAAATCCCTGGGACCTCGCTGAGACGTTGCCTATAGATGTAACTCGATTTGTTGATCACGGATATAACATCCGTTTTGAGCGCTGGCGTCATTTGGCGCCATTATGCGCCAATTTGGCGCCCACCACTTTTTTCACCAAAGTCGATGAAAACTTGCATATGGGGGTTAATTGAGGTCCTGATTACGAATCCAACATTTATTTTTGGCGCTGGCGCTTACGCGCCAATTTGGCGCCATATTGGCGCATAATGGCGCCAAATGGCGCCAGCGCTTGAAACCAGTGTGATATTCGTAATCAGGACCTCAATTAACCCCCATATGCAAGTTTTCATCAACTTTGGTGAAAAAAGTGGTGGGCGCCAAATTGGCGCATAATGGCGCCAAATGACGCCAGCGCTCGAAACGATGTGATATTCGTGATCAGGGCATCGAATTACACCTATAGGCAACGTTTCAGCGAAAATTTTTTTTGAGTTTTTGGGGTAGGAATAGTTCAATAGTGCCGAAAAATCAACTATCAAAAAAATTTGTTGGACTGAATACGTCTCCCCCTGTTGAGAAATCTCCAACGGTGATGTGCCCTGTTTCTGACTACTTGATCCGAAATGCATCACAAGGGAGAGAAGCCAACTTCATTTGGAAACCCACGGTGATGCGAAACCATCGCTGCAGAAGTGCTGCGAAAAAACAACAGCACAGCAGCAACTGCAGCTTTGTTCAAACGCTGCGCCGTTCGTAAACGAAAAAGGAGTCACTCCAAGGTGGCTGATCAACATCATCAATCTTCTTTTTGTAAGGAACACTGCACATGCTGCGATCAATGCTGTTGTTTTTTCAGCACAATTATGGCCGAAGCTTTCATTCTGTGACACCCACTTGTGCAATCGATATACGGACTTTCAGGTAGTGAAGCGGTCCACAGAACCTGCGACTGCAAATGGAATGCGCCGCGATTGTGTACGTCTTCGTGGATTACCGTATGAGGCACGAGTTGAGCATGTCGTTGAATTCCTAGGCGAACATGCACGATTTATACAATTTCAAGGCGTACATATGGTATTTAATAGCCAAGGTAGGTGCAATGCTAATCCATTTATGGCTTGGACTGCGTGTGCAGAAAATTATTTTCTTAGGGACGCTTTTGAATTACAAAAGGAAATTTCTTCCATGTGCATGTTGAATGCTTTCGATGTTGTATCTTCTCACAACACAGGAGTATAACAATTATGAAAGATAGATAGGCAAGGCGGTCTAAGAAGAAGTTTACCAGAAGAGCAAGCCTGAAAGTGAATACGTTCCATACATGGGTGCTGGAAGAGGAGCGTGTTAGATGTGAAGGGGGGGGGAGTAGACAGTCGCCCTTTGGGCACTATTGAACTATCACTCTCCCCGTCTAAAGCAGGCCAGTTCTTTAGCGATTTTTTTCTGGGCAGATTAGGCTGGAAATGTGTTTCCATGGGTGGTTTGACCTTTTGGACATGAATATCACATCCACGCGAAACGAATTCGGCGATCTAGGGCGCCAGAGTACCCTATATCATCGAGTTCGCTGAAAATCTGTCCTCTTCCTCCGAGGTAGTTTCTGTACATGAATATCACATCTACTTAGCCCAAAACGGCAAGGGATCCCTAAAACCTTGTCTACGGGTAGTTTGACCTTGAACATGTATATTACATCTGTAAAGGGTGCCAGTGGAGTTAGGGATGGAGAAACGAGGATGCACATGGCGGCCAGCTTGTTGCGCTAGTCTGCGCGCTTCCTCCGAGATAGTGGCCCCCTTTCTCTGCTAACTAAGGCTGAATCTGGCCCGAGGGGAATTACTTCTTCTCCCAATCGGAAGGCTTCCTAGTATTCACCCCCCCCCAATCAGCAGAAGGCTGAATGGCATCAACGCCAATACGAAGGTAATATTAGGGATCGGGATATCAATCGACACCCGCAACAAGCTTTATTCTGGTGCGAAGATGATGGCGCCAAGAAGTATGTCATATTCGTGACGAGGGCTTCGAACTACCCCACGGTCAAAGTTTCAGATAAAATTTTTTTGAGTTTTTGTGATAGGAACTAGTTCAGTAATGCCGCGATTTGATACTGGGAGGGGGCAAGAGGGACGTCTGCATCTGCACGGACTGTCTACCGCAACGAAGATCCAGTTAGCTACTAAGGCGTGAGTGGCAGAGAATGTACGGGGCGTCTCTAGACTTAGCGGTTTGCGTCTTTGGAAGAGCAAACCACAGGGAAAAGAAGACGACGAGAACTTGACGTCGAATAACTACATCCGACCCGCCTAGAGCTTCCAAGGCTGTTTTGGGTCGTGATGGTGCACAATGGCTGATTTGTTTTGATTTTGTCATGCGCAGTTTTTCGACTTAGTTCGCGACAAGACTCCTTGTCACGAAGGTGCGTAGTTAGCGTAGTTATGGGCAAAACAATTGGCGTGGATAGGATTCGAACACACTACCAATGCTGACCCTTACGCCGTGCCTTATTCACCTACCACGACCTCATGTGCCTTCCCTCGGCTATTCGTCTCTAGATTCGTATAGTTGTGTAGCCATAGCTTACCGGCGCTAAAGATTGTAGCTACTGCAATTTACCGCTGATTCTAGTTCTCCTGCTCAGCAGGTCAGTTGTTTTGCCATAATTCAGCATTGCTCCAGTAACAACGGAAATACTGTCTACACAATGTTTACAGTTCCGACAACATCTCTAATCCAAGCTCTTTATAGGTCATCCATCCGGCGAAGCATTCATCCAGATGAACAGTGAGCAGGCGGCCGCTGGAGCAGCTGCTGCCGCTCATAACAAAATTCATGATCATCGGCAAGAAGCAGAGGTATATTGAGGTGAGCATCATTTTTAGCTAAACAAGGTGCTGTGCGAGATGGAAGTACTGCTGATGGTCGCTTCCACCGACCAGTGCCGGGCAACGTCATAAAAGCAGCACAAGCAACACCGTTGTTTGTGGTCTATTAATGGTCATTATAAAAACCATAAGACTCGTTTTGCCGTTGTCCCCCGCTCACGCAGGATAATGTATCAGAGCCAAAACTGAAAGGACAAAGCTTCTGCCGTTGACTAGTCTTTTTGCGGAATACGGCATTTTACTCTCATTCGGAATGGGAGAGGCTCATCGAGTGTGATCCTTTGGTTTAATTAGGAGCTAGCGAAGGCATCGAGCTCTGTTCTCTAATCACCTCTAAGGGTTCTGCGTAGAGGCGTCAAACGAGAGAACCGGAACGTGCAATTTGCGATCATCCTTTATGATGGCCTATACAGAGTCGTCTTGCCTACAGCGAGGCCGCGCGAATAAGAAATACAAGCAGTAAACGCCGATATATTGAAAGCTTCCCGGTTAACGTTGAGCCAAAGAATTATGGGTTATATATAGCAGGAGGCCAGGCAGTTGGGTGGTTACGGGTGGTGATTTTGAAGGGGTGAACCTAGGACACATCATCGTTGAGGATTCCCCAATAGGTGAGTCGTAGCTGGTTCATACTTAGCCTGACAAATTTTTTTTGGTAGTTGGTTTTTCTTGCTTCACGGGCGCTATAGGGGAAGGATGTCACATTTGCTTCGCGATTTTTCCTGTTTCACATTGCTATGTACCCCGTCCCCCACTCCTCCGCTCAACCGGAGTACATGATTTCCCAATGGAGGGTCGTATTTGCTAGCTGGGAGAAGGGAGGGGGGTCGTACTTGGGGCTGAGAACAGTTATTTTTCGGATAGTTGAATTTTTTTGTCTGCACGGACGTGTAAGGGGGGGATCGCACTTGTGTCGTTTCTGGGGTGGGGGCGCATTCCTTCTGTAGCCTTCTGAGAGAAGGTTTGCTGACTTTTGTGCCTTTCCTGTTTCAAGTGTTGTACTATAGTAACCCCCACTCCGCAGCAAAATATTTGGGAGAAGAAAAGAAAAAAAAAAAAATGTCTCGTAAAAGTGGTAGGTAGCTGGAAAAGGCTAAGGAATGGCAGAAGGGCGATCGGATCCCGCCGCGCTTTTCCCAGTTTCGACGGACCCATGCTGTTTACTAACGCCCCCCCCACGCTCGGACTATGCTGGTTAGGAGGAACAAAGGAGTCGTCACCACCCCCACTCAAAAGAAGGGGGTTGCACGGATTCGGCCAAAATCCACAACCAATTATGTGCCCTGCGCTCGACCGCAAAACTTTAGGAAAAAAGTAAAAAATTTTTTAAATCCTTGAAACTGGAACAAGCTGGTAAGGAAGTTGGGGAGGTTTGTATTCTCCGAAAATTTTCCCCTGCGGCTAGGCTTGCCCTGGAATAAACAACGAACCGAAACCGACCAAAATACCCAGCCCACTATGTGCCCTGGGTGAGCCTGTGAACGATGAGTCAGTGATTTCTTCGATATTCTTGTGCACGTCTAATTCTTCCCAAATCAACTGTGGTTTGAAGGTTTTCCAATGCTCTCCCGACGACATGCACTTGGTGATGGCTCCCACAGCGCCAGCGCCTGTACCCGCCACGCTCTCGCTTATATGACTGCCCGGCAAAGACCAACATTTGTGTCAAGTGAGTACCGCTATCGTGCTTACTCAAAACGTATTTTCAATACAAGGTTGTTTTTTCAGACATTCCCGGCTTGGTACCGATGTCAGCTCCGATGTTCTGGCCGTATCCATCACCTCCTGTTTCGCCTAATATGGTTATACCGGGACAGGTTCATCAATTTGTTGTTCATAACATTAATAGCGAATGTTGATGATCTCGATTGTTTAGGTTAATCAACTTGTCGTCTATGGTATTGGCCCCAATGTTGGTTTACCTGACATAATTGCCCATTTCCAAACTCCAGACGTGGTTGTTGAGAATGTGAGTTTGGAATGGGATTTGCACCACATGCATGTATTTGTTGCGGCATTTTTGGTTCATTATTGCTGATTTCACTTATGTGATTGTGTTCACTCGAGTAGCTCAAGGCAATATTCCCGGCGAAGCAGTGGTGACCATCAGATCGCGAACACCGTCTGATCCACCGGTGGTTGCGATCGATCCACAGTTTCTTCAGAAGGTATATTATGGGATTTTTCAGAACTGGTTTCCCTATTCGTCATTCCAGTGAGCAGATCACCAGCTAGGGTAGAGTATCGTCGGGAGAATCTGGGGTTAGAGCTTAGTCCCCGCCTCCAGAGGACGCGCAAAAACCAAAGTCTTTTGCTTTCGATTGTTTTTGCGTGTGTAGAACTTGATTGTTGATACCTGCTCCCTCCCGACTCGATGGCATTTTTTGGGAAAACTGGAGAACTTCTTGAAAAATTGAGAAACTGAGGAACTAGGTAGGAAGGAAACTTAGAATAAAAATAAAGAAAACTTGGAAGTATTTACAAAGTAGGGCGGAGACGGCGGGGTCGCATACAAACATTTACAGAATCAGACGAGCTGTCTCTCACGTTCTCCATATTGGCATTGCTTAAAGACAGTATCTTTGTCAACTGCAGAGTAACAAACCTTCAGACTCCTTTTCTTTCCACACTTCCTGATTTTTATTGCATATTATCGAATACCGGGTCATTTCCTGAATACCGGTCTCATACCAAACATATTTGATTTTTTATAATATTTATTATGATCTTCTTCGGAAAAATTTGTAACAAGTTAGCGTTCTTATCCCCGAAGATGAGAAGTTGGTTACGCAATCTTATCGTCCCGGAGGGTAGAGGCTTCGAGGGACTATGTGGGAGTCGATCCCGGGGTTTGTGACAAAAACTGGCGAGGTAATTAAGCGAGCCACTTGTCACTACACCACCTCCGACACTTCCACACTTTGTACATATCAAACCACTACCTACCCTTAACAGAAAATTCTCATGACATTTCATTGCAAGGATAATTTTTATGACGAATTCGTCCAGGAAAGTGCCCATAGAAGTCATGGGCGCAAAGAAGTGTTGTCGTCCCTTCAGGTTACCTGTCTGCATAGCTTTAAGCAGGGTGGTGCAGCTGCGAAGCGTAGATCAACTCTGTCTTTTCTGTGTGAGACGGATGGGATTGCACCGGTCCACATGTAAGCCGGAGATTCCATCAACGTGCGGTGCAAAGAAACTATTGTGAAAGGGGTGAGCATTTTCACATAAAACCAGGGAAAGAGCTCTGAGGTGAATGAGAGAATGAATTTACCCACTCGAACTCTGCTCCTACTCGCAGGTTCAGCGATACATCCTCATTTACTTACCTAGCTCACAAATTTGTTTCGCGACTCGGCTTTAAAACTATGTAACTGCCGTCTGACAGAGCTCGAAAGTGAAAAATGAGTAGAAACAAAGCTCGTAGAATTCTGTATTATTCAAGAGCTTGCTGGACTTCACGAAAAGTCTTTTTGTTGGTGGAATTGAGCGCAATTGGTTTCGGCGAGGGGCGTTTTGTGACATTCGCAAACTTCAACTGACTTTGCGCCGGTTTACAAGTTTCACTATGGTGAAAGCTGTGAACTCTTGTGCAGCTGGACCAAGCTCGTCCAGCCACCATGGTTCTCTCGATGGCTCGAAACGTCGGTGATCGGTGAGAAAGGGCAAAAGGGCAAAGTGCCCCCTCCCCGCGTCACCTAACTGCACCGGAATTTATAAATTTCCCCTATTTATTACAACGACGCCTAACCATTTACATAACTGAAATCAAACTTGTTTCAGGTTCCGATAGATGCACAATTCATGCCTACCGCTGTGCCGATGACTCTGCCACAAGCCCTACCGCATCAACCAATTTACACCCTTATTCAGTCCTAAGGACCCTCGACATTCCTCCAGCTAACATCTGCGCTGCGTCCCTCAGTCATCTGAACGCATGTTTTTCGCCGCCCAATAAACTTGGGATGCTATTCTTTGCTGAGCGTTGACTGCATTAATTTAAAATTATTTTCTGAAACATTTACAAGGAAAAAGAAACGAAGACAAAAACCGAAATGCCAAACCTCGTGACATATCTGACGTGCGCTGTGCATTTTTTCGTTCAGAACTTTAAGAAACTAATTTGTTTAGTTCATAGTGCCCTTGTCACCACTTTAACTCACATTCTTTCCTCTTTCAATGCGTCTCAAAAGTCAGTCCACTAATGCTTCGAGAGTGAAATCGATAAGATTCCTACGATTTCTGAGAAGCGTTACATTTTTGCTACCCTAATCTTGGTCCACAAATTCGTATTTCTTGACATCTTGCCTTTATTATCAACAATATTTTCCATTATATCCAATCACATTGTTAAATGAAATTCATTGTAGCATCATGAACAATACGCGCCTTAACTTTGTAAACAAAACTCACTCCTTCAAAGTACACGTGTCTTTACTAGTGTGATATACCTACCATCCTATATTATGTGCCTAATTTCTATTATTTATTCTTTCTCATAGTAGTCATTTTCAAGAATTAATCGGTATTCCACGTAGTCTGTGATCGTTGAGCGATTTTCATCAGTCGATATGTTGTTGTAGAATTGATCTACGCCGCTACTACTGTGATTTTCTGAGCGCTCTCACTTCATTATTTACACCACAAATGCCTTTGTCGCGCATAATACGCGCCCGCAATTAATGTCTACGTGTGAGATTTATTTATTATGATTCTTTGATTAATAAACAATCAATAAATATGTCGAACCATTTGGTGTTATGCGAGTACATAGAGAGGAACGGATTCGAGGTCGCCACAGCCAAGGTGAAATAAATTAAAAAAAAAGCTCGGAATCAGGATCATCGTTGGGGGTTTCCCAATAGGGGGGTCGTATTTGGCCGTTGGGGTGGAGAGGGGTCGTAATGAGAGGGGCAGTCAACACCAAACAGGGATGTCAGTAGCACTACCAAAAAGAAAAAAATAAAAATGATCAAACA